TTTTTTCTGCTTCTCCAAAACTACTTTTTTCTGCTTATTCAAAACTACTTCTACTTCTACTCAATTTTTTTTTTCTTTCTAAAAGGTTGGCCAAACACTTTAACTTTAAAACAAAAATATTTTTTGTTGCCTTCTAGAAACTTGGCCAAATAAGCAACTAATGAAATGGAAACGAAGAAAGTTAAATGAAATTCTCAGCAAGATTTAAACAAATTTCTAGTTTAACAAGGGTTAAGAGGCTGTTTAATCTAAATAAATCTTAATTCTTAGATCAAAGTGGACAAATGTCATTAAATTTGATGAGATGAAACTAAAGAAATACTATATTGGAGGTGAGCCAAATCCGAGATGTTTAATAATTACATTTTGGTGGATATGAGTATCTAATAGAAAATAGCCTTAGTTGAGATATTTTAGGAGGCCTATGTGTATTTGGCCTAAAAACATAAAAAGCGAATTCTATATTATCTTGACCGTTGCTCTCCCACTAGACATTCTGTAATACCATTTGTCAACCATTTAAAAAAACCATCAATTACGTCATCGCTCACTAAAGCCCACAAAAGCAATCAAAAACCATGTTCAGCCTCCAGTCGCCATAGAGACAAGCCCCTGGTTTTCATTTTCATCAATATTTCCCATTAGACTCGTATCTTCCACACCTGGTGGCATTAAATTTTATTTCAACTTGTTCAAACTTTCTTTTTTGTGCCACAAGAAATGGCTCTCCATCACCATGAAAGGTTAAGCACTTCAGTCAAAGTACTATATATACACAGTGTATTCGTAGCACCATGCATATCCAGTAAGGAAATTCACATACTCACTTTTTATCCAAAAGTTTGATCATCATGAGTAGCTTTACAGAAGAACAAGAAGCTCTGGTTCTCAAGTCATGGGATTCCATGAAAAAGAATGCCGGAGAATGGGGTCTCAAACTCTTTCTCAAGTACGTATGCACACTCACAACCATAGCTTTTATTTATTTGTTTAATATACATATCTTTAGGAATTATACCAAGGGTGGCTTGTTTATACTCTCTGTCATTTTCTTTAATTATTGTCCAAATACCCATATATTCCCTCAATTCCAATACTAGGCACGTGGTTTAAGTAAAAATAAAACTTTTGGGATATAATTTATGGTCCTAAACAAGTCAGAAAAAGGTTCAAAGTATTTGTATGATTATAAAAGCTTCTCTTAAGAGTATAATTGAAAGTTCAAGCTTAATTCTTTTTAAATTTAGAAAGAGGTCATTCCTTTTGGAACAGATCAAAAAGTAAATAGGTTCACGTAAAATGGAACGGAGGGAATAATATATATAATGCATTCTTCGACCTATAAATTTTATTTTTATGACCTATTTTGAGTACACGACCTTCATACTATCCTTTCGATCGCTATATTTGAATTGACTTGTTTCCCTTGATTGAATATATGATGGATTGATTATTTGATGCTTTTTAGGATATTTGAGATTGCACCATCGGCCAAGAAATTGTTCTCATTCCTCAAAGATTCAAATGTGCCCTTGGAGCAAAATGCCAAACTCAAGCCTCATGCTAAGTCTGTCTTTGTTATGGTAACAATATCGTTACAATTGGCTGCTACTCCTTCCTCTCTACGTTACGTTCTTTTCCTTTTTCGTTAAATCAGCTAAGCTAAATACAACATGATTATTGTATTATACCCTGATGACAATCTTTATTTCATTTATTTGTTTTACTGAAGACTTGTGAAGCCGCAGTTCAACTTAGAAAAGCAGGAAAAGTAGTGGTGAGGGATTCGACTCTCAAAAAGTTGGGTGCTGCGCACTTCAAATACGGCGTCGCTGATGAGCACTTTGAGGTATAATCTCCCTTGCATTAAGCTATATTTGACGTACCAAAACGATTTTCATTTTTCAAGTAAGAATGGATCTTCTTCCTACTATAAATGTCATGTTTAATGGAGTAATACATAACTGTCTTTTTGATTAATTAGTGTCCGACATGAAATCTATCAAAACTTCTTTTTCAAATAAAAAACTTAAATTAAATATTTCAAAAACTATAAAGAGACAGCAACACAAAAATTGCATTAAAAAATCAACAACGGTCCAAGGTGACTAATTTTGACATTAAGGATTTTAAAAAATTGGTGAGTGCCTCTGATAGGCATTCGGGAGATGGTTTCTCGACTAACGAATTATCTGTCAAGTGTTATAACCACTAGAATTATAAATACTCGAAATAAGCTTCTGGCTCTTATATCACAAAAGGGGCTTACAATGTTTCCGCTATAATTGTAAATACTCGAAATAAACTCATGCAAATCTCAGTGTCTTTTATTTTTTTCTCTAATTTCTCTCATAAGTGATTTAAGTTTTCTTTTTCTGCCTTAGAAAATTAATTTGATAGCTAAAAGAGCCAACTTTCTAGTGTGTAAATGACAAAATAAATGACGGAAGAATGTTTGAGTTGACAGGTAACAAAGTTTGCCTTGTTGGAGACAATCAAAGAAGCTGTTCCAGATATGTGGAGCGTTGATATGAAGAATGCGTGGGGTGAGGCCTTTGATCAGTTGGTCAATGGTATCAAGACCGAGATGAAGTAGAGTTCTTCATCCTATGCTACAAAGTTGAATGCAAACACATACTAATAGTATTTCTTTCTTCAAGTTTTCATCAAAATGTAATACGTAGTTCCTATGAGGTTATGTCTTTCGTGTATGTGTATGGATTACATTTTTCTAAAAGAGGAAGGTCATACGCCCATGTCGGTGATGTTACGAGAAGTACTTGGTTTCAACTCCTCTTAAACTTATAGAGTTGGGAAACAATACCCCTCACCTTTAAAATGGAAAGGAAATTCCCTTTAACTCAAAAGTCAACCAAAAAAAAAAAATAAATTGGTCCGTGTAAGAATTTACAAAATGATATTATCCCCGTATTATGACTCTTTGTTAGCTTGTCATTTGATTTAATAGCTTTGTCTACTATTCTTCTTTAATATAATATTGATATACATATTTGTTGCTCTTTTTATTTTGAACTTTTATTCTATTGTCCACATGTACACAAGGGCGGCTATTGGGTAAAGCCAATAAAGCCTTAGTTTTAGGCCCCTAATTTGGGAGCCCCACTTGTACCAATAGGATCAGAAGCTTATATTTATTTTGAGAAAAACAATATGAGGTTTCCTTTTAAAAGACTACTGCATACGTGCATGTAAAAGGAAAGATATACTACTAAGAAACCTTGACCAACAAAGTGGGCCCCAAAAATCAATTAAGGTGACGTT